GCTTCGTTGTCATGGAAACGACGGTCCTTTGAGAGATTTTAAAAAGTCAGGCAAGGTCCGGTGAAAAAGCTGGGTGTGGCAGGATTTCAGAGCCACACTGTTCTGCTTTCTGGACTGCTTGTCGTGTCCTGTGCACAGGGGTATTGTCATGCAGTAGTTGGACCCAATTGCAAAGTTTTCAACGCACTATTCTCACCAATTTGGACTGCAATTTTTTCGACAGATCCGAGTAGTAGTCTCCTATGACTGTTTTTTTTCTCCATTTTCCGGGTAGTCAGTTCTGATGACACCTTCACATTCCCAGAAACACGACAATAGGACATTTCCGCTTGACGATGTTACCTTGGCCTTTTTGATGATGGAGAGGTAGGGGTTTTAAAGGGCATGGAGGACATTTTTTGTTCTGAATCGCAATGATAAATCCATATTTCATTCATAGTCAACATGTTTTTAAAGACATTTGTGTCACTGGACTCAATTCAAAGGAGAGTTTTGCCGGACTCAACCCTCTGCTTCTTTTGCTTACGTGTCCAAAGACGGGGTACCCACCGCGCAGACAACTTATTCATGTTAGGATGATTAAGGAAAGTCTTTTGAATTGTCCATACACTGACTCTCGTTTCACTTGAGAACTGTTTAACAGTTATACGTTGGTCTTGTTAAACCAGTTTCTTCACTATGGATAAATCTACATGGGCGCTCTTCACAACCTTCATCCATCACTGACATTAATCGAGATTTGAATTTTCTCACCCAATATGTCACAGTATTATAACGAGGACATTTGTCACCATAAACTTGAACCGTTTCCCGAAAAACGTCGGAAGGGGATATTCCTTTCAATTGCAAAAACTTGACAACTGAGCGATATTTACAGGCTCTATGGCACAGCTTTAGCAAACCCCCCCCAAACCCCCCCCCCCCCCCAAACGTTTCTGTGCATGGTTTCGTTGAACACGCCAACTAGTGCCATAAAATTGCCGAATTTTCCCGAATATTTGCTCTGTGTGTTCCAAAACAATTGTCTAAAGGCTGGCGAAATTTCATTACTTTACCATGATTCATTCATACCCAGACCAAAGACTTATTGACACCCCCCCCCCCCTCATATTATTTGGCTCTTTGGCCGAATGGCTATGAGATGGGTCGTTCAGTACCTCAGTTGATGGATCTGGGGCAAATAGTCATGATGGCACCGATTCTCTCTCTCTCTCTCTCTCTCTCTCTCTCTCTCTCTCTCTCTCTCTCTCTCTCTCTCTCTCTCTCTCTCACTCACTCTCTCTCTCTCTCTCTCTCTCTCTCTCTCACACACACACACACACACACACACACACACACTCTCTCTCTCTCTCTCTCTCTCTCTCTCTCTCTCTCTCTCTCTCTCTCTCTCTTCGTTTTCTTGTTGTTGTTTATTTCTAAATTGGCAATTGGCCTTATATTTGTTTTAATATCTTCAAAAAAATGTTACAAACTTGGAGGTAAATATACCAGCAGAAATATGGTGGGGAAAAAACTACCATTGCATCCTGTTTTCGTTTGTTTGTGTATTTGCTTGTTTTTTTTTGCTCGTGTTTTTAATAAAAAGTAAAAGCAGCAGATCAACACAATAATGGTCGTATAGTGCATGAAAAAGTAAGGTGAGGCAAAAAGACGAAAAGCCTGTTTTTTCCCCACTGCGACACGAGAGTACTACGTGCTGAAAATCGCAGACATTTGTTGGCTTCCCTTTTTATTTTCTTCCGTGGTTTTTTGTTTTGTTTTTTTGAAAAACAACAGAATAGACCAGACACTGCTGTTATTATTCAAATATCGGTCAGAACACACGCATTGGCAATTTTTATTACATAGAAGGTCAAGCGTCTAAGATAAAGTGTTGATTTGTAAGTTAGATAGCCTATTTTTTCTCTCGATAATATTCGTGAAATTGCAGACCTCAGTGTTTTGCTGGTTTTATGTTTTTGAACAAATGTTTTTATTCTCATCATTGGAATGTCACAGAGACATGATGCGCTAACCGCGGAATTTCGTGATTCCCTTTTAATGAGACTCTTCTCCCATTCATGACCTGAACGTTCCAGTTCACAAATCAGAACCTTGAAACCTTAATCGTAACTCTCCCCTCTCCCATAAATTCTACATAATGGGCGGATTAACTGATGAAGATGGAGTTCAAAGTGAATAAAGTGTATGAATTCAACGTTGCTGTCAACACTTTTAGGTCATTTCAGAGGCAGGGCATCCGAATTTAACCCCCTATTCACATTATTAGGTTGTATAAAAGTCAATACCTTTCACTTTAATGTCTGTCTCTTATAGGACAGAACCAAATGGGTTGAGAGTCTTTAAAAACTCTACAAAACGACCCTAATTGAAGAGCATCCAATGTGGGATTTGAACCAGGGCCATTCGCTCCATAGTCCATCATGATACCAACAGAGCAAACGGAGCGCCATTTTTCTAGGAAATAGGATTTTAAGAAATAATTTCCAGTACGAGTTTTGCAGCATATTTTGCAACCTGATTAAGTTATATAAGTGAGGTCATATAAGTGCCGAAGACTAGAGATGTTACAAGAGAGTAACAAAATATGCATTACAGAACATGTGGACGGAAAAGGACAACGGATGTTTGATAGAATAGAAGGAGCAAACCAGGGGGGAGCATCCGCCAACCACCTGCAATAGAGAAACCACAACAGTTGCGTGATGGAAAAAATACTGAGCTGTTTGATAATGTAGCATCGTTAGATTTTTTACTAAAGAAATACAAGCGCTTGTTTTTTAAATTATTTCTTTCCATAGTGGTCTTCCAGAGTGTCAGTCATGATTCGTTCTAGGAAGATGTTGAAGAGAGTGGGAGAGAGCAAACAGCCTTGCCTCACCCCGACCGTTGTCCGGAACCAATCCCCCATGCTGCCTTTAAGGTAGACTGCGCTGGAGGCCTTGTCATATAGTTGTTGTATGACGTTGATCAGGTTGGCGTTGATGTTATATTTCCTCAGCTTATTCTACCCTTAGTAAATTGCTAAAGTTATATTTTTAGATAGTGATAGGACTATGGCGAGAGAAGTGAAACGATAAGGGTTTTTTTCCCGTTGCAAACGGAAGACTCGGGTTAAATTCCCAAGTAGAGAGAATTTATCTAAAGTAACTCGATCATTCTGCTAGGATGTCCTTCACAGCCCAGGCAGGTCCGGACAGCAAGGTTCAAAGTTTGCTTCCTTAATGATGATCTAAAAAGTGTGTTGTTGATAGAGCACAAAATTAATGACGATTTATAGAGGCACCAGACACATATGTTCTTGTGCTGTTTTAGCCTCCTTCTCCTTTAACCTTTACACAACCTTAATCTATGCTTTCTAACTTGGAATTTGCCTATAATTCTTCTATCACCTCGATGACCTTCTACGTCTTGGAATATGATCTTAAAGGCCCACCTGGGACGATTTGAAAAAAACAGTACGTGACAGTAACCCAGTACTGTGTCAAACAAGGCAGATTGCAACCCCAGAATGAGAAAGTTCTCTCTACTCAGTACTTGGCTTTGAACAAAAAAATTAACGTTCAGAATCCGGAGTTTCAAAAGTCAGTTCTTTTTAATGCAATTTTTTTAATATCTTGACAACGACTCCGAAAAATCTTATGATTTTGATCATGCGGATAGTACATTTAGCTTTTTTTTTTACTTATTATTATTATTTTTTAAATTAAATTCTTTTTATTATACAATGTAGTTGTTCTGTACCTATGTCTGAATGAAAATAGTCCGTGTGTGTGTGTGTGTGTGTGTGTGTGTGTGTGTGTGTGTGCGTGTGCGTGTGTGTGTGTGTGTGTGTGTGTGCGTGTGTGTGTGTGTGTGTGTGTGTGTAAATATATACTGCATGAGAAGAAAGGAAGTAATAAGACAGGTTTTGATAACGGGTATTCCAATGTAAAGCGCATTGAGCTATATTTTTTTTGGGGGGGGGGGGGAGGGGATGCGCTACATAAATGTTATTATTATTATTGTTACTATTATTATTATTATTATTATTATTATTATTATTATTATTATTATTATTATCATATCATCATTTAGAAATAAACTTCTAACCTCATGGTTTTAGTAACTCAAAATAGCCAAAACTGTCAGATAGAACTTTGTATATATCTAAGGTAGTGTTAACATTCAAAGCGTCGTCAGTGACGATGAAGGAATGGATGATGGGACTAGTGGTGGTGTTGTTAGTACGAGATGGGAAGTTGTGTGTATGTTGAACTGAAAGATTGATAATAGGAAATCAAATCGAAATCTTATGGTTAAGCTGTGAGGTTAAATAAAACCAAATATCATTGGGGTTCTTATGCGATGAAATTGCTGTAGGAGAGGCTGAGGAAGCTAAAAATGCTTACAACTCAAATTCCATAATTTTGAATCGAATCTTGACTTTGGGGGTGTACCCCCCCACCCCCCCCCCCCCCCCCCCTTAAGGCTTATAAGAAGGACATAACCCATCAAAAGAGGATTTAGAATATTGTAAATATTTGCAAAAGGAAAATAGGGCAATGTCTATTTCTGAAAGCTGTGGTCTACCAAAAGACGACAGTAATGTCATGTAAGTGTGGCTGGATGCTGTATTAGCTCAGTTGGTATCATGATAGACTACGGAGCAGATGGTCCTGATTTGAATCACAGATTTGGCGTTCATGTACCCATGTCGTTTTGTAGAGTTTTTCTAGGGTCTCAACTCATCAGGCTCGTGCTACTTCATTGTGAGAAAGAGATTCCAATACACACGCTTACCAATTGGCTGTGATGATAGCAGAATGCACACACACTCACTCACACAACTACACACTCACACATGCGCAGGTATAAACATAAACACACACATTAGCATACACAAACAAACATGAGCAAATCGAATACAAACACAATAAATCAAACACACACACATACACATCTATGTAATATAATTAATTTAATCACAAGATGCCTGTTTTGCTTCAAAAGCCTTTCATCTAGACATTTCGGTGAGGGATTTCGCACAGAATAGCCTGTAGATGCATCCCGTCGCCCCTGAAGCAAGGGTAATCATTCATAACTTTGAAAGGTATTTCTATATTCATACAGTTTTCTCCCGCACCTCCGCTAGGTTCAAGATGCTGCCACACTAAGGTAGACATATTACCACCAGAGGTCATGAACCTCCATGACCCCTCATGACCTTCGTCTGTGGCCCCGACCCAAGCGCCTATTATTTCCGGGTGAGAAACCGATTGGTTGAAGAGAAAATCAGTCACAAAGTCGAACTCTTGTCGGTCGTTGATCTCCACAAGGTATCCTCCATACAATTGACAGAGGCGATTAGCTTCCTGGGCGTTTCCATATCGTTGTTCGGTGACAAAGTAGTGGCTACCTTTGTAGTTGGCCGACGCTAGTGTGATGGCGTCTTTGGAGTTGTCCACTTGGGACTTCAGCCCATTCAGTGTGGATTCCAAGTGTGTCACCTTATTCTCCAGTCCTGAGAGTTTATTGAGCTTGATTTCCATGTCTTCCACTTTGATGTTCATTTCTTTGATGGTTTCATCAGCTTATTCTACCCTTAGTAAATTGCTAAAGTTATATTTTTAGATAGTGATAGGACTATGGCGAGAGAAGTGAAACGATAAGGGTTTTTTTCCCGTTGCAAACGGAAGACTCGGGTTAAATTCCCAAGTAGAGAGAATTTATCTAAAGTAACTCGATCATTCTGCTAGGATGTCCTTCACAGCCCAGGCAGGTCCGGACAGCAAGGTTCAAAGTTTGCTTCCTTAATGATGATCTAAAAAGTGTGTTGTTGATAGAGCACAAAATTAATGACGATTTATAGAGGCACCAGACACATATGTTCTTGTGCTGTTTTAGCCTCCTTCTCCTTTAACCTTTACACAACCTTAATCTATGCTTTCTAACTTGGAATTTGCCTATAATTCTTCTATCACCTCGATGACCTTCTACGTCTTGGAATATGATCTTAAAGGCCCACCTGGGACGATTTGAAAAAAACAGTACGTGACAGTAACCCAGTACTGTGTCAAACAAGGCAGATTGCAACCCCAGAATGAGAAAGTTCTCTCTACTCAGTACTTGGCTTTGAACAAAAAAATTAACGTTCAGAATCCGGAGTTTCAAAAGTCAGTTCTTTTTAATGCAATTTTTTTAATATCTTGACAACGACTCCGAAAAATCTTATGATTTTGATCATGCGGATAGTACATTTAGCTTTTTTTTTTACTT